ATCCCGGGGCGGGCCGGGGCCGGGGCGCGGCCGCACCCCCAACCCCAGCTCGGGGGCCGGGCCGCGGGAACGCCCTCCCGGAATGAAGCGCTTCCCGGTGCCTTCAAGGTAGCTCGGTTCCGGATCGGGGACCCCGTAGTGCTTCCTCGTAGGTCCCACTATCCAAAATTTAGGAGACCCCCCCAATCTCCCCGGGTCGGGCGGGGAGATAGTCTCAGCGCCCAGAAATCCCCTCACATTCTCAACTGGTGAGGATCCCTCCACTCCCCCAATCCAGAGTGAGGAGCCGCCCTCGGAGCCCCTAATTTCCTCCGAACCTAATTTAGGGTTACCCCTCAGCTGCCCTCAATCCACTCCCGGTGTCCCATATCCCCCATATCCATTTTGGGGAACCCTCTCAGCGCTCGCGTCCGGAGTAGGGAGCCTCCATCAGCACCCTAGTAGAAACTGGCTCCGTTTCCCCAGTCCCTCCTCAGCCCTTGCTGGCCAGAGTGAAAACCTCCTCTCAGCTCCCCCAAAATCCCTTCGGCCCACAGTTGTGGACACCCACCCTCACTCCATGGTCTGTTGACCCCAAACCTGGGATCCTAGTTTGCCTCCACCCCATCTCCTAGTGTAAGGGGTCTCCCCTGTTTCTCTCACCCCCTGGTTAGCATATAAGGGGTCTTGTCAGTCCCACTCAGACTCCAGTCTGAATTCGGGATGCCTGGTTCCAGATGCTCACCGCCCCTCCCCAACGAGGCTAGGGGAGAGGTCCAAGCCTCTTAAGAGTCTCGCGTTTCCAGTTTAGGAGCCCGAAGGCTCAGCGGAGGACCTTCCCCTCCGAATGACCTCTGTTTGCTGAGTCCCAAACCCCACCCCATCCAATGGAAGAACCTAAGCCGCCTCCCTACTGCGTTTGGAGTTACTTCCCCTGCCTCCCAGTCTCAGTTTGAGAACTCTCCCCACGGAGGCAAACGCCTTCATTTCCCCCCTACCCAAACCCCGTTCTTCTGGGTCTCTGAGATGCCCCAGCACCTTCACCCAAGGCCTCTGGGAGCCATCTCACCCACCCAGAAAACTCCCTCTCTCCAGTCTGGGAACCCGGAGAAAGTCCCTTCTGGATCACCTCCGGAGCCGGGAGCCTGTCCCCTTCTCGCCACCATTCCAAGCCTAAGGAGCCCTCACATCTCTGGCCGAAACCAGCCAAGAAAGGGTCAAAGGCAGCCAGTCCAGGAGGCTAAGGCAGCCAACCCCCGCCCCCCCCATCCCCATCCCTGCTGGGGATCTCAGTGCCACACAAGCCCCTCCCTCCCGACTCACCTCCTTCCCCCCTCCCTACCTTAAATCCACCTAGAGTAACCCAGTGACACCCTTGAAGACAAGCTCCTTGATGCTCACCTTGACATCCGTCCTCCATTCGCCACCATTTATTAATGTGCGCAGCAGCACTGGGCAACATAACCCTGACCCCTGGAATGGTGCCCATCCCCCTCCTCTTAGCACACCTCCCCTCCCCCACTGCAACCACCTCACGAATAAGAACCCGAGAGACGCACGATAATGGTTTCCTTGGGGACCTTCTGGGAACGCTCAGCAGGTAGATCCTACCACCCTGTGAGCATAACACTAGCGACTAACTTGCTTCTTCCTGTCCTTTCATCTTCCTACTCTACCCCACAGTTTCCCAGCATCCCCTGGAACGGGGTGGAGGGCACCCCGGACAGGGCGTTTCCCACTCTTTCAACACAAACGCAAACATCAGATGTGTCTTGGGAGAGACACAGGTGTGGATGAGCAAGCAGCACCTCCAGTGTTAGGGAACTGAGTATTCCTGGGTCTGAGCTCCCGGTTGCTTGGGTGTAAAATGAGGCCAATGGGGAGGTGCAGGGGGTGGGGAGCCCCAAGTGTCCAGGAGCACCGACCTGTGTGATAGTGCTCTTGGGCAGGTGGCTTGGAGGACAGGAAATGGGTAAGGATCATTTGTTCAGAGTCAGCCAAGCCTGTGAGTAATATCTTGAGATACGATCCATTTATTAGTGTCCTCATTCAGAACCTCCGAGGAGGACGTGTCTATTTCTTGTCAGTACCTGGTTTGTAGCACAGTAGTCAGGTGTGGGGTGGATTTAGAAAAGTCCCCTGCTGCTGCAGGCTCAGCGCAGCCTCACTGCTTCAGTCCACTTTGTTCACAGGAGGGACAAGTCCTTCTGGGGGTAGCCCTTACAGGACAATGCAACTGCAGATGCCTGATCCTCATAGGAAATTGAGGATCTCAGCGGTATTAAGGGAAAATGAGCTTTAGAGCAACTGGCCCAGACTCCAGAATTAGGAGATTAGAGGATGTGGTTCCAGCTATTTCTCTCTAGTACTACACACAGAGCATTACTCAGAGAATAGAGAATAATTTGCTTTATAGTTTAAAAAAAAAAAAAATCCTTTAGAAAAAAGCACTGGGCAAATGACGTTATGCCAAGGCACTAAGCTGCAACTTGGCACATTCATTCAACCCACAAATATTTATTGAACACCTGCTATGTGCCAGACACTGTCCTAGGTGCTGGGGATACAGCCGTGAGTTACCTTCAAGATAGTGTGGTACTACCAAAAGCTCAACAATTACTGTACAGCAAAGATGAGAAGATAAGGAGGTTGGGAAACTAGAGTACTGGAAACGAAATCATCAGAACTCGATTAAAGAGAATGCTGACACATTGTGAAAAATATAACTAATGTCACTGAACAATTTGCATAGAAAATTGTCAAATGGGAACATAATTTGCTGTGTAAACTTTCACCAAAAATACAATAAAATATTATTTAAAAAAAAAAAAAGAGAGAGAAAGTGTGGTACTGGCTTAAGGATAGACGTAGTGATCAACGCAATAGAATTCAGAGTCCAGAAATAAACCCTCACATTTATGGTCAGTTGATTTGACCATAAGTTTGGGTGCCAAAACCATTCCATGGAGAAATACCTACCTGTCAGTCTGCTTTTGTAAATATTACAGCCTTGGAAATCCTAGGGATTGCTATGAGTTGGAATTGACTCGATGGCAGTGGGTTTTTTGGGTTTATACCTACCTGTAAAGCTTGCTTTCTAGAGGCAGGAGTCAGATAATTTACATTTATATGTATGCAGTTGTGGTGGCCCAGTGGTTAAGAGCTCAGGCTGCTAACCAAAAGGGCGGCAGTTCGAATTCACCAGCTGCTCCTTGGAAACCCTATAGGGCAGTTCTACTCTGTCCTATAGAGTCACTATGAGTCGGAATCGACTCGACTGCAACAAATTTGGTTTTGCTTGTTATACACACACACGCACACACGCACACAAACACATATATTCCTGGGTGGTGCAAATGATTAAGCGCTCGACTACTAGCTGAAAGATTGGGAGTTTGAACCCAAGCAGAGGTGCCTTGGAAGACAGTCCTGGCAATTTGCTTCCAAAAGTTCACAGCCTTGAAAACTCTATGGAGTAGTTCTATTCTGCACACATGGGGTCGCCATGAGTTGATTCTGACTCATAGCAATTCCATGTGGCAGTGTAGAACTGCCCAATAGGGTTTTCTAAGCTGTAATCTTGACGGGAGCAGATCACCAGCTCTTTCTCCTGTGGAGCTGCAGGGTGGGTTTGAACTGCCAACCTTTCAGTTAGCAGCCGAGAGCTCAACCATTGTGCCACCAGGGCTCCTAACAACACATACACACACACAGACGTAATATGCCAGTCAGATGTTGGTGAGTGCTATGGACAAGGAAGACGAGGGAGCGTGGGAGGCATGGGAGACAGGGTGATATGTAATTTGAAATCAGGCGAGTTCTCATAGGGAGGATGATGTTTTAGCAACGTATGAAGGACATGAAATACACTAATCTACCGGACTATCCAGAGCTTTCATTTAAGCAGAGTGTCTGCACCTCTTAAGAGCAATAATAATTGATATTC